GGATTAATGATAAGGAATAAAGCGGATGAGAACATCGATCGCTCTACTTATCATGAGAGTTGCCTCAGTCCTGATGGTATAGTGTCTGATGAAATCTCAGCACGGATTAAGAAGGCTCGATTGGTTCTTGTCAACCGGTGCCATTTGAGGTGCAAACGATAAATCCATCTACCAGCCAAAGAACGAGTTTTCTGCTCAACAATTCGCTCGGTTCTACTCTACAGGTGTGAAACATGACTGTTAAAAATAGAGGATATTCGTAAGTTACTAGTATTTAAACAAACGTATCTTCGAAATATTACTCGTGCAGTTCGGGACCACCGAGTAAGCAATGCATGAGATAGGAATTATATTTATTTATTTATTTGAACACATAAATATTGGTACAAGGGTGCACCAAATATATATGCGCCACACAAAACAATGAGAATTTGAAGAGAAGGAGAAAAAAAAGTAATAAACGTGGGGAATTATAAAAAAAAAGAGAGAGATAACAATAATGGGGGAAACGGACAGGTACAATCAGAAGAAATCTTTCAGTTAAGGAAGATACAACCACTTTTTATGAAGAAAGTAAAAGTAGGTTACAGCAGGATCGCCACTGGCTTCTATTCTGAGCCATATCTGATAACGTCTCCAGCCACTGTTGTGCACCATCTCTAGGACCCCCGCCAGGGAGTCTTGAAAGACCAACAGAAGCCAGCCCTTTGCAGCTTTCTTTCATACCACGACACCATGTCATATACTGACCACCTCTCCGCTTTTTCCAACCAGTCCCAGAGTCGGCAAATAATGCACGACGTGGAATTCTCTGGGACGACATTCGTAAAACATGTCCAAGCCACCGAAGTCGGTGTTTCAAAATGGTGACACCAATTGCATTATCGTCTCTGTGCCCGAACACACGATGCCGAACCTCTGCACTACTAACATGGTGTTGCCACTGGATGTCAGCGATCCTTCGGAGACAACGATGATCGAACACAGAGAGTCCTCTAACATCCTCAACTCGGAGAGGCCAGGTTTCACAAGCATAGAGCAAAACTGCTCTCACTGACTCGTTGTAGATCCAACTTTTACAGCCAGACTAAAATCACGAAGGCGCCAAAGATGGCCCAGATTGTCATAAGCCGCTCTGGCTTTCACTATACGTGTATTGGTCTCATCACTCACGCCACCACCAGCACTTATGCAGCTACCTAGATACACGAACTTCTCAACTACTTCTATCTGCTCACCATCCAGAGTGAGTACAGGATTAGAAACCTGCCAGTCTTGTAGAAGAACTTTGCACTTCGAAGGTGCAAAGCACATACCATACCTACGGACACTGATTGCCAACTGATTAAGTGCGAATTGCATGGCTTGGGCATTCCCGCACAGTAAGACAATTTCATCCGCATACTCAAGGTCGAGAAGTCTTTCTCCAGGCAACAGATCCACACCACCATTACTTACATCCATCCGAATTGTTTCCAGAATGTCATCGATGGCAAAGTTGAAGAGGAATGGTGAGATTGGGCAACCCTGCCTAACCCCACTGCTCGAATGGAATAGAGGAAAAAGGTGATTGTATGCCCTCACTCTGCCTGAAGTGTTTGTATATAGGGCTTTTAGGATGTTAATAAACTTCTCAGGCACACCCTTCTTCAATAGACAATCCCAGAGAACAGTTCTGTCCAACGAATCGAAGGCAGCCCTGATATCAAGAAACACTACGATTGTTGGCCTTTGATAAGTATGGCGGTGTTCTAACGTTTGGCGGAGGGTGAAGATATGATCAATACATCCTCGACCAGAACGAAACCCAGCCTGCTCCTTGCGAGTCAATCTTTCTCGGGTTTTGAACAACCTACGAAGTATAACGGAAGCCAATAGCTTGGACGCAGTCGAGAGTAGACTTATCCCCCGATAGTTGTTACAGGAACGACGTGAAACCTTTTTAAAGATAGGGACAACTATCGACTCATTCCATGACGTTGGTACACTCTCTAGTTCCCTAGTCAAAAAGTCACCACCATCTTTAAGAAGAGCCGGAGGTACGTCGTCTGGGCCCGGTGATTTGTAACGTTTCAAGAGTTGGAGTTCCTTGCGGACTTCCGCCTCATTTGGTGGATCAGTCGTCACCGACCATGGAGGGCAGGACAGCGTGACCGTTGTTGCTGGAGCAACAGGTCAGTTGAACTGCTCTTCGAAGAATTCTGCCCATCGTCCAAGACGTCGATGGATGTTAGTGATTGGCATCCCGTCATCCTCGCAGATTGTTTCGCTCACACCAGACTTCTTGCTGGCAATGGCTCTGATGAGTTGGAAGAGCATCCGGTAATTACCAGATGCAGCTGCTGCTTCCAACTCACTGGCACGCTCCGACCACCAGGCTTCTCGGTCCTTACGCAAGCTTTGCCCGATTTCATTACGTAACATCCTTCGTCTGTGGTCAAACTCACGGTCACCCGGAGTAGACCGACGGGCTTCAATCAGTTGTAAGGAACCAGAAGAAACCCAGTGCTTGTAAGCGGGACGTTTCGCAAACCCACAACTGACTTGACCCGCCATTTTCATGGCGTCATGCAATTGCAACCAATGCTCATCTATACTTTTTGGTGGAATGGTAGCTAGCCTAGAAGCTAGCTCGGTTCGGTACATACTAGCAACAGAATTTGCAACCAGCTTGCTAACATCAATCCTTTGATGGCGGTCACTTCGTTGTCCACTGAAAAGTAGGGTAAGATTGGCGCGGACCAGAGCATGATCAGATTCCAGATAGGTACTCCAAAAGGAGCGGCAGTCTTGTACACAACCACGCCAGCGGTAGCTGATCGCGATGTGATCAATCTGAGTCCAGGCTTGAGATGCGGAAGGGGGACGCCAGGTGGCACATCGGCGATGACTGTGCCGAAAGTTAGTGCTAGCCAGAAACAGGTTGTGGTCTGTGCATAGTTGCAGTAGACGTTCCCCGTTATCTGTCCTGCGACCAACGAGTCCCCATCGGCCACCTAAACGACTCTCTTCTGTGCCTAGACGCCCGACCTGAGCATTCAAGTCTCCAGCTAGTACTACAATATCTGTCGAACGCACTTTCTGGAGAAGAACAGTTAGCTGATGGTAGAACTCGTCCTTGATTGCATCCGGGCTGCAATCTGTCGGGGCATAGGCGGAGATGACGAAAAGACATCGTTTCTCACGCCTATTTCTTCTCACTTTGATGGAACTTTCTAATCTAACAGCACATAACCGACTGTTAATGGGGATCCAGTCGACTAGTGCTGCCTCAGCTCTTGCGCTTAGTGCGACACCAACGCCAGCAAGACCAGACGAAGATGCCACAGGGTCCCCGGATAAACGCACATAAAACAAGCTTTTTGAAGTGACAGATGGAGAGCGAACTTGTAGTACTTCACCTGAGTTTTGAATACGGGTCTCGGATAGACAACAAACGTCGATATTAAGGCTTTCCAAAGATATAGCCAACCCTATCTGTTTTCCGACCTGCATAAGTGTGCGAACGTTGAAGGCATTTCCATCAGTGAGAATTATATCATATACGTATTCTAAGTCAGCAAGTAAATCTCTTGGTAGATCAGCCTCTGAAAAGTAACGATGAAAGTGCTATCAGAAAAAGGATTTCTATAATCAAAGCTAAATAAAAGTGGGGAAAGCGGTCCACTCTGAAGGACGCCACTTAAAGTAACCAATTCTGATGACAGTTCATCATAAGCTTTAACTTTACCAGTAGTGTTTGAGTAGAGACTCTACAAATCCAACGTACTTCTTTGGTACATCTTTTAATGACAGACATTGACACAGAATCTCATGAACAGCAGTCGAAAACCACCATATGGTCAAGAAACACAACTATTATCGAATATCATAAAATTTGTCTATGTTCTAGAACCTGTGGGATGGTGAATATTTGGTCTATACATCCACGTTCAGGTCTGAAACCAGCTGGGTTTTTCGGGTTTTCCCTTCATGAGCTCTAGTCAGAAGTCGAATTATTATTTAGGGTAGTATTTTAGATACTATATTAACTAAACTGATACTTCTACCATTGTCACAAGAGGATTTTTGTCCTTTCTTATAGTCTAGGACGATCAGCGATCGTGATTAGTCAGATTAGATTACATTCATTTCCCAAATTTTAGCTAAAGTAATAATAAGTTTATATTATAACCTAACAGCAACTAGAGAGCTATTGAAAATCAGAGAATAGTAAATAGCTGTTGTGTTACTAACTTGAGACTCCTCCCACACAGAATCAAATTTAAAGCCTTCATCTTCCTCAAAAAGTGTAGTACGTTTTGTTTATTTCGTTGGAATTCATTAGTCTGTATATTTTGAGCTCTAGCCAATTCACGATGTGTCACCACAGTTATCCAATTACATCAATGGAAACATTTTCACTTCTAACGCATTGCTAATGATGACTTCTCACGAGAACATCTTAAGGCCAATCGTTTTTAATCACACGATCGGCATTTAGGCAGGTGGTTTCATTGAATTTGTTGATTTTCCAACTGTTTTCAGTTCATGATTTAAATTCTCAGCACTCTTTAGATATAGAAACAGTGAGGAAATAACTATTTTAGAGTATATTATGACAGTTTTATCACAATCACTCATGGATACAGAAGTATGGTTTGCTGATAGAGCAATCTACAGATGATCGAGAAAAGAATGTTTAATTATTGTAACTCCTTGCTAGGTAGGTATCCATGTTGCATGTTTAGTTCGTATCTTTGTCTTTTCTGCAAGAATCTCAGTTTAGACAGTTTGACGACCTACGAAAGAAAAAGTTTACTAATTAGAAACTTCTTAACTTATGATGTAGCACAGTCTTTATCATACTTAAACACTATTTTGTCATCATTTTGTTCATACAAAGTGAATGTCTTTTATGCAGTGTTTGTTATCGTTCCATGTCTTTTTTGTATGATAGTTCGTGGCTTTGTTTAGTATCGTAGAAATTAAGAACCTTATAACTTTTTTCTCTCTGCTAGTATAATGAGTACATTGTTCAAGATGGTGAAGGGATAAACGCAGTTACAACCAAATTGATTTTAGACCCGGGTGATCCAGTTATTGAAGTTCATCCAGATATAGTGAAACATTTGAAACCACATCAAGTTGAAGGTATGCTCTAAATATTCTGTATTTACCTATTTTCCCCTCCTTATCATAACATTTCTTGTTGTGTCTTTGTTAACAGGAATGCATACATATCAGCTTTCTTAAAACCTGGTACAACTGTAAAAAGTCTAATTAAATGTTTAGATTCTGTTATTCTATGAGCTCTATTTTTGATGTAAAAACATTTGATGAGCTAATAGATAAACTTGTAGTTTGTCGCATTTTATGTAACGGCTTGTTATAGTCGTTTTTGGATCGTATAATTGACTTGAATTCTGCACATAAACCTTTCAGATTCTGAATAAATATCATGTTTCAGTGATGCAACCGTCGTTGCAGTAAAATATATTCTGTATCTTCTGCTGATTCTAATGTTTGTTGGTTCGTTATTTTTCTAGATTCCAGCTACTAACTCTCGTTGCCATAGTCTCTACCTATCTACATTAGAATTTAGCCATGTACACTCCTAGTGCTTGATCAGCCTAATTAATTGTGCGAAGAGTGTAGCAAGTCGTATTGCTAAAAGTCACAATAATAATACATTCGATACAGGTTTTTGTAGATAACCAGACTAACCTAGATAGGGAAATGAAGAGGATGGCTTTTTGTCGGTGAGTAATTCACTGTGAATAGACCACCTAAACTTGCTTCTCATGTACTGTTAGACCTTGCATTATATTATGAAATACATTCGATTGGAATGACCATATTCGATGCGAAAACATTAACTCAGTGATAGATTGATATTCGGAGTTTTTTCTGTTATGATAAGGTATAGTGATTTAAAGTATAACGTTTATTTCAGGACTCAAGAATCTGCGTTTGAAACTTACGATTTCTGAAGAGTGAAACTGGTATGTAGTTCTGAGATAGCGGTACCCGTCGACTGGCTCAACATTCAATTTCTTCAACATACACAGTCCTAAGGTTCTTGACGAGTTGTTTACATACCATGATTCTAGATCTCATGTTTAATGTGTTATGTAACATCATTGGTGTAGTACTTAATGATTTAATCAGACACATTTTTTCATGCCACAATTACTTTCTGTTGTGATGTGAAGGATCATCATAGTTCTAAGGGATTTTAAACAACTGTTTTATCTCGGTTTTAAGACCCCATATTATTGATGTCTTCGAAAAGGTGAACTTCCAGCTTTTAATTTGCAAGCATCACTATTAATCCATGGTACACTATTAATTCATTACAATTTTATTACTATTATCGTGATAAGCTCTATCGTTATTATCTTTTTATTATTTTAAAGTATTTTTTCTTTGTAAAAAAAACTAATTCCAGCTGTTCGCTTCCTGTGGGATTGTACTATTGAATCTGTGGAGCATCAAACATCTAAAAGTGGATCGTCACCTTCCACAGGAAGTGGTGCAATTCTTGCTCATTGCATGGGTTTAGGCAAAACACTATCCGTGATCTCTTTTTTGCATACACTATTAAGATATCCGGAACACATAAATATTCGTACATGTTTAATTATATGTCCAGTGAATACTCTGCTCAATTGGAAACATGAATGGGATATATGGATGCCTGAAGCTGGACAGGTGGATGTGTTTGAATTGGCATCAAAGAACAGTAACAGACTCAAACTGGATATTGTTAAACATTGGCATACAAATGTAAGCTTATAGATACATATATGACGTACCGTTTAAATTTAATTTAAAAAAATGTTTCTTTTGATTCCAACTATACTGATAAAACGTTATGTGCATTTGAAATGGTATTGAAATTCTAGACCTTGAGAAGATAAAAAATATATACGTCTCAGTAATTTAGGTTTCACCCAACATCTACAACTGTTTATCACAATTATTTCGCGGACCAATCCATTAAGCGTAGTTTTCCACACGACTCATTCCATTATTCAATGGATTCATGAACTGATACCGTTCCTGAATTTGACCACTCACAGTTTTTCACCAACAAATATTGTGTTGCATTTGGCGATGGTTTAGCACGGTTGACATATGTCCTAACCACCTCGGTTGATCAGTGGTTCAGAACTTCATCAACCGATTTTCCTTATCGTCCTTAGTCACATTATTGAATATCTTTTCTTCCAAAGATTCTCTTTTGTAAACTTTCATTTAGTTTTTAACGATTTATTCAACACTGAAAGGAAACAGCTTTTGTTTATTATTTCCATTTCTCTACTTAATATATGTCATAAAACAACCAGCGCTTATAATTATTGCTCTCAATCTGTCGTAACAGCTATAAATTTGTTCTATGCTCACTCACTGATAGCGGTTAGCCTTCGTGAATTAATCTTCAAATCATTTTACATTTCACATTGTTGTTGATTTTCTAATTATTTACATTGTATTTACCTTTTTTCTTATTATTATAGGGTGGTGTACTTTTAATTGGTTATGACATGTTTCGTAATTTTATAATGAACTTAATGAAGCGAACAAGAAGTAAAGATGTTAGAAATACAATATCCTCAGCTCTCTTAGATCCAGGTCCAGATATTGTTGTCTGTGATGAAGGACATTTAATGAAAAATTCGAAATCACATATAACTAAGGCTGTGTCACAAATTCGTACCATGAAACGTGTTGTGCTGACTGGAACACCTTTACAAAATAATCTCAATGAATGTAAGTTCACTTGTTTCGTCGGTGTTCTTTCTCATTCTTTTTCTTATCAGTTTATTTGTCGTAACAATCTCGTTCAAAGCTATAGTGGTTTTAAGATGGGGGCTTCTTTGTTGAAAGGGAAAGTCAATTAAGATGTTTTGTAAAGCAAAAACGACAAGCACGGTTTATCTAAGCTTAATAAAGCTAGTAATCCTCTACGGTTTACCAAAGTGGTAAATAACTAATAATATCATAAGCTCGCTCAATGACTTGCCCAGTTGTTTGAGCCTACGAGGAAAAACTGTTTGTACACCGTTTTAAGGACGGTTTTGACTTTGTTAATTGAGCTGATGTTATAAACCTAATCAAGACGTGTATGCTTCTTTTAATGTAGTTTTTACTCAAAAATACCCCACTAGAAGTGACTCCTGACTTTTTTTTGCAACCGCGCTGACAAGATTGACTTTTGAAAAAAGATACTGAAAGAATTATTATTATGCAAAAAAATGTGTAGTTCCAATTTAATGGAAAGTATTATTGGGAAACAAATACTACTACTGAGCCGTATATTCGCCAGTATTTTCCAAACACAGTTAGTGAACATTAAGCCAAAGGATACGATAAAACAAACGTCTGTATATTTGAGATACATTGATGACAATTTCATCCTATCCAATAATAGTGACTATAGTGATCGTCCACTTAGATCTCTCAGTTTTGCTCACCTGTATCTAAAGTGAATTTCTTAAACCCAATGATAACCAGAAATGAAAACGGTACAATTTCACGTATTATTTTCATTTCAATAGCTTTTGTTTAATCTCCTATAAAAGTTTTCAGGGGAACCAGTTTATGTCTAGAAGATCTTGTCAACAATGGACTGAAAATTATGCGAAGAAACATAATCAGAAATGACTATTCCATAAAATTTATAAATCAAGATCAAGAGAAATGAAATGTCTCAAGAAGCCAATAACCATAGAAAGAATGTGTTTGTCAAACTACTATTCGAAGGGGATGATCTTAGTGTACAGAATAAATGTTGGTTTAGGATAATCAGTTGTGCTGACCTATCCAGCTGTGCTAACCTTGAAATCACATATGCAGCGAAAAGACTACGTAGAGCAACTAACTTGGATGATCGACCTCTTCTAGTTACTTCCAACTGTATCTACCTATTAACCTGTACTTGCACTAGCTCGTACGTTAGAAGAATAAATAGAGTACTATCGGAAAAAATCTGATACTGCTCTCCGGGTAATAAATGGACAAAATTTTGACAGACTTCTATGTCATACAGTAACAGTTACTGTTCCTTCCTTCAACCCCGATTACTATGTGCAAAAGAACTGCTAGTTTACTTGATACTACTGCGATGACAGTTTCACTGATAGCCTTCCATTCTTTGTTTCATTCGTTTCTCAAATACTTAAGATTTCCCTTATTTGTTGGTTTCCGTTTTTATTTAATTACAATAGTACTTTCATTATCCATTTTAGTCATTTTCATAGAGGGATTAGTTTAACTAATATAGTATCTAAAATACTAGCCCCGATAATTATAGGACGCCTAACTAAGACTCGTGAACTGCAAACACGAGAGAATTAAGCTGGCTTCAGACCTATGGCGCAGGCTAGATATCCGTCTATCAATTAAGGGACGAGTATACTGCGCGGCAGTTCGTTCCGTTCTACTATACGGTTGCAAAACATGGCCATTAAGAGTTGAAAATACTCGTAAGTTACTAGTATTTGACCACAGATGCCTTAGAAATATTACTGGTATCTGCTGGGATCACCAGGTAAGTAATAGTGCGGTTAGACGTAGGGTATTAGGGAATGATGGTAAATCAGTTGATGAGGTTATGAATCTTCATCGACTGAGATGGTTGGGCCACGTGTTGCGTATGCCTGAACACCGATTATCACGACGCGTAATGCTTACTGGTGTTAGGGATAATTGGAAGAAAGTTAGGGGTGGCCAAACCAAAACGTGGCATCAGTGCTTGAAGACACTAACTTCTGGTCTGAGCCATGTTGGTAGATTCAGACTACCTGGTTGGGGTCCGCGTGACTATCGTAACCAATGGTTGGAGAGTCTTGGTGACACGGCTCAGAATCAATCACAATGGTGTCGGTGTATACACTCTCTGTCTTCTTTTAAACTAAGAGATTAAAATCGCTGAAGCGTTGAAGTCAGACATCGAAGTAACTACAAGCATGCTTCATCTTCTATTCAAGAAGATTTGGGAGGAGGAACAAGTGCCGATGGATTGGAAAGAAGGACACCTCATCAAGATTCCAAAGAAAGGAGACCTGAGCAAGTGTGAAAACTACAGAGGCATTACACTACTGTCAATACCGGGTAAAGTCTTCAACAGAGTGTTACTGAACAGGATGAAAGACGCAGTTGACGCTCAACTTCGAGATCAACAAGCTGGATTCCGTAAGGACCGGTCGTGCACAGACCAGATTGCGACACTACGGATCATCGTCGAACAATCAATTGAGTGGAACTCGTCACTCTACATCAACTTCATTGATTATGAGAAGGCATTTGACAGTGTAGATAGGAGGACGTTATGGAAACTTCTTCGACACTACGGAGTTCCTGAGAAGATTGTCAACATTATCCGGAACTCATACGATGGACTACAGTGCAAAGTAGTGCATGGAGGACAGCTGACAGACGCATTCCAAGTAAGGACCGGAGTCAGACAAGGCTGTCTGCTCTCTCCCTTCCTGTTTCTTCTGGTGGTCGACTGGATTATGAAGACCTCAACATCTGAGGGAAACTACGGCATACGATGGACAGCTCAGAACCAATTAGACGACTTGGACTTCGCAGATGACCTAGCCCTCCTATCACATACACACGAACAAATGCGGATAAAGACAGCCAGCATAGCAGCAGTCTCTGCATCAGTAGGCCTCAATATACACAAAGGGAAAACCAAGGTCCTCAAACACAACACAGAGAACAGCAATCCAATCAATCTTGATGGCGAAACTCTGGAAGACGTGGAATCCTTCACATACCTGGGAAGCATCGTCGATAAACAAGGAGGTTCAGATGCAGACGTCAAGGCGAGGATTGGCAAAGCTAGAGCGGCATTCCTTCAACTGAAGAACATATGGAACTCAAAACAACTTTCAACCAATATCAAAGTCAGAATCTTCAATACCAACGTCAAGGCAGTTCTACTGTACGGAGCTGAAAATTATAGAACTACAACAACCACCATCAAGAAGGTACAGGTATTTATTAATAGCTGTCTACGCAAGATACTCAGCATCCATTGGCCGGATACCATCAGCAACAGCCTTCTGTGGGGAGAACTAACCAGCTTCCAGCAGAAGAGGAAATTAGGAAAAGACGATGGAAATGGATAGGATATACCTTGAGGAAATCATCAAACTGCATTACGAGACAAGCGCTAACTTGGAATCCTGAAGGGAAGCGGAAAAGAGGAAGGCCAAAGAACACATTACGTCGGGAAATAGAAGCAGATATGAAAAAGATGAATAAGAACTGGAATGAGCTTGAAAGGATTGCCCAGGACAGGGTTGGATGGAAAATGCTGGTGAGCGGCCTATGCTCCTTCACGAGGAGTAACAGGCGTAAGTAAAGTAAGTAAGTAATGTCTTTCTTTCTAGGAACTAATTCTATTTTCCTGTACTATTTCCTTGTATGCAATATTTCTTTTATATATTACCACCATTGAATTAACTACTTCTATGAATCTGGTGTTCATCTTGCTGTGCCAATGCAGTATGGCAACTTGGACCGATGCATATACGTGCCTGGTCCTACGTTGCAGCTGACTGACTGACTTTTCATTCCTAATTTATGGTTATTGTAGTTACTCTTATTATTTTAAGATTATTCAGTTGGATATTTGACTATTTGTCTACTTAGTCTCCTTTTTTCAACATCTATACAAATATTATTATCACTAATACCATTTTCATCATTTAGCACATGTTTCTTGCACTCAGTTACGTCATATTCTCTGTCTCGCCTAATTCATTCTCTTATAAATTGAACTTGTATAATTATTAGAGGTATTCATAATTATTTTTCACTGGTGAACATAATAACTATACACGGTACACAAAGTTTAATAACACAGAATGTCACGTTTTATCGATGTTGTGTTGTCTACCAGATGAGACAATATTAAACTTTTCTTATATCTAGACATACAAGATAGTGGCCAAAAAAGGAACAATCTGCTAGCCAAGTCATTTTAGCTATGTAAATGTCTCCTTAAGAGCGGTTACGTTTATAAGCCACATTGAAGTAAGCGGATTCAGAAGCATATGATAAATTTTTAAGGAGTGTACAGGAGGTCGCAAATATGATGCGTGATTTAGACGAAAAAAAGATTTGTTTGTAGTGTTTCGTAGTTTAGTTGTTAATAGTTCATCATCTTTGAAATCGAATATGAGGTACTGTCATTTTACATACAATGGTGTTAGTGGGTTTCTTAATGTGAATTTCACTAGTTTTCCTGAAAAACTTTCCCTACAAGTTGTTGTGCATTTATCTTCTTGAGTATCGTCCACTCAAATATTTATGCCTCTAAATGTTGAACCACGTATGAGATTTCTTTAGTACTGAAAGGGGTCCAGAAAAGCAAAAATTAGTGTACTGGCTAGCTTATAATTCTTTACAAAGGATTTTTTCTGATAATACCATGCTATATCTAGTGTCTTCCTGTTGAAATGGTTTAATTATGTTCGCAAGCGATTTAGCTACTTCATGGTATAGAGATTTGAATATATACAGGCTTGACCGGACTGATAGTTAACATTTATGTATTTTCATTACTCTGTTAATCCTTGGTACGTGCCTTTCTACATACTCAGGCTGTTCAGAGGTTAAATGTCGTCTTATAGACAATCAACAAGTACTTAGATGTGTTTTTTAGATCCTATTTTCTCTATTTGGTCTCGGCCACTGACAAATTTTTACTCTTGTATTCATTATTTCGAATTCTTGAACTAATTCTATACATTTGTTATGTTTGACTGGTAACAATGATAAATCTAATGATACTTTGATATCCGAATGTAACAACTTTGCTTCCTCCAACCTCTGCTACTCAGAAAGACATATGTCGCCAATAGAATATATTTTGGGAGTGATCCAGGAAGTGTCCATTTACATCCATGTTAATTTAATTATATATCCAATAAATTTGATTTTCTATTACAAATTATATCAATTAACCAATCATCACTTAAGCAGAAAATTTCGGTGAATGTTCGTAGAATAATGAGTGGATACAACTGGATTTGTGAATGGTTAGTAGTTTTCCTGAATAATAAGGATTATCTCAGATTGCTATTGATACCCTATCTGAAGATATTTCGAAACTAGTTTTATCCTTAAAAGGTGGTAGGTAAGTCACTTGAACAAGCTACAAGTGCACACTAATTGCGGTAGCCAAAGTTAGTATCCGATAATATCCGATAATATTTAGAGAATATGGAAAATAGTCATGACCATATTGTGATCAAATCAGCCTGTTGAATAGTCAAACTCTGGAATGAATTGTGTAAAAGACTGTTAATTTATCTTTGCCAAAGGTTTTAGTTATTAATGGCTAGAAATCCTAGATAATATAAATTACGATAGCACTGATATGTTTAGTTTTTATCCTTTCCAAGTTTTAAACTTCGTAAACCATGTTCATTTGTTTCTAGTTTATTAATAGTTTTTATCATTTCCATTTCAATAATTTCAAACTTTATAGCGTCACCTCTTTGTAGGTTTGTCCAGTTCAACAAGTTGAACTGCTACTCCACTATTATTCTGACTGAAAAAACAATTTGTTTTTTAAAGTATTCGTAGTAAATTCCTCACTGTTTCGACCCTTATCTTTTATTTTATTTTGTTTTAATTAGATCATACAATGGTTGATTTTGTCAAACCGAATTTATTAGGAACCCTCAAAGAATTCAATAATCGTTTTGGTAATCCAATAAAAAATGGACAACATTCAAATTCAACACCAAGAGACGTAAATTTAATGAAGAAAAGAGCTCATATTTTATATAAAACACTAGATGGTTGTGTTCAGGTATTATTATTATTGTTTGTTATTATTATTATTAATTTATTTATTTGTAGTTCACGTAACTGTAATTACATAACTATTTAATGTTTGGAAATACGGGTGTGCGTGTGTGTTTATTGTAGAACATGAAAATATGTTAACCTTCTAGTGATCAATACTACGTTGAATATATTGAGGAAAGAGTTGTTAGAATAAATAAAATAAGGGAATAGAATTTTTGACTTGCTTTTGTCGTTACAAATCAATGAATATTTGTAATTAATTGAGGCGATCATACACATGAACAAATGAAGTTCAAGACAACCATTGTAGCAGAAACTTCTGCATCAGTAGGCCTCAACGTACATAAGGGAAAATGCAACATCCTCAGATACAACACAGAGAACACAAAACCCAATCACATTCGATGGAGAAGCTTTGGAAGATGCGGGAAATTTCACGTACCGGGGATGCATCACCGATGAACATGGAGGATCCGATGCAGACCTAAAGGCAAGGATTAGCAAAGGAAGGGCAGCATTCCTACAGTTGAAGAACATACGGAGCTCGAAACAACTGTCAACCAACATCAAAGTCACAATGTTCAATACGAACGTCAAGACAGTTCTGCTATATGGAGCTGACACTTGGAGAACTACTACAACCATCATCGAAATTGTGCAGGTATTTCTAAACAGCTGTCTACTCAAGATACTGAATGTCCATTGGGCAGATACCATCAGCAACAACCTACTGTGGGAGAGGACAATCTAGCTTCCATTTGAGGAGGAAATTAGAAAAAGACGCTAGAAGTGGAAAGTACATACATTACGGAAAACATCAAACTGCATCTTGAGGCAAGCGCTAACTTGGAATCATGAAGGGAAACGGAAAAAAGAAAGACCAAAAAACACCCTACGTTGTGAATTGGAAACAGACATGAAAGTTAATAATAACAACTGGAAAAGGATTGTCGAGGACAGATTTAGATGGCGAATAGTTGTGGGCGGCTTATACTCTACCATGAGGTGTAACAGACGTAAGTATACTCGTCTATCATTCATTAAAATTACTCAATTATTTAATTTAGTGAATCTGGTCAAATGACAATCAAGTCGTTATAATAATCTCATTTTTCAAACTGATATTTTTAAAGAATTCTAACATTAAATCCGAATAAAGAACTTATTCGTCACTATAAATTATCAGTTAACACAATCTCAAAACAATATTTAAAACAACAATTTGAAATTGTCAACTACCCAAAAAAGTATTCAACATAATCATAATTGAAATCTATCAATAGGTTGATAACCATGAAGTACATGTTATATATAGAATTTTGAACGTATACAGTTACGTTTCTTGTTCAGTTATTCTTATTAATTAGAATAGATTGAAACATTCATCAGTTAAGTTTATTTATGTTGACAAAATTTTATAATTTTTTTTTTCGACTCACATTATTTTTTAAATTATTTTCTTTTTCTTTCTTATTTTTCTTATATATAGCGTAAAGATTATAGTGTATTAACGAAATATTTACCACCAAGATATGAATATGTAATTATGTGTAGATTAAGTAAAGTACAACAAGAGTTATATAAATATTTTTTAGAAAATCACAGTAATATAAATTCAAATAATACTTTATCAAATAATAATAATAATACTTCTACTAATCAAGATGAAACAAATCATCGAAAAAAATTATTCATGATTCAACAAATCTTATATCGTATATCTACACATCCACATGCATTAAGAATACATGAAACAAAAGAAGCTCGTAAAGTAAGTTAATTGATAAACAGTGCAAATATTTCAGTTATTCATCAGTATGATTTGTATATTTTAAATTGATTGTTTATTTTTGTGTTAGTTCATAAATAGATGCACTGGTGTGAATATCTTTTTTTTAAAATAATTTTAAATAATACTTTAATTTGAATAATTTCTGATATTTGATTTAACGTTCATCTATGTACGAAAAATCAAGTGTATTTGAACGGTTTTAAATGATCTTGACCTCTTATAAACTTTTAAAGAGATATTAAATATAGTATCAAGATAGTTAATTATCCAATTAAAGTCTGAAACAATTCTTCATTTTTTCTAGGTACTTCTGATAGACATGTTATTCAGTGCTGATTGGATAAAACATATTCAACCTTCTCTAAGCTTTTGAAAACTTTATTTAGGGATATTTGTAAGCTCTTAGAAGTTTTATTTCATGAATATTACTTGACTTAAATGATAGAAATAGATTCTACTAGTGGAAAACATTTGAGTATTATCTTTTTTGTTTAATTTTTATCTTGAAAGTTTGCATTGTGTATAGCAAATTAAGTGCCACTTTTCCTGTAGTCTGTGGGTTTTGTAAATTGATACTGGGCTGTCTATGGTTTTTTCTTAAAATTACCAATAATTTCCAATCTAAAAATTCGTTATATATATATATATATATATATATATATATATATATATATATATATATATAATTGTGAAATCTATAGATCTTCATTAATAGCGTTTATTAATCAAATAAATTTATAATTATACTGATTACTGTTCTATCTTATCTAGATGCTTCTTATGGATGAAGATAGTTTTATTGACGATTCAGCGAATTCATCAGAAGAATCTTCAGATGATTCAACATCTTCAGACGACAGTGATGAGAATATCAACAGAAAAAATGACGAGATCGATGAAGATAGTGAAACTAGAAAGTCTTTAAATATTACTGATTCAAATAATAATAATGAAAGTAATACTGTTAGACCACGTCGTAGACATCGTCCAATCACTCGTCAAGAATCAAGAAATCCTACAGTTCTTATTGATTCTGAACATGATTCAGAAAGTGTTATTGATGTTGGTGAATGTCAAAAACCGTGGTGGTATATGTTTTACAACGATGAATATGATTGGCAGATTGATGTAGGTGCTAAAATGGATGTTTTGTTCAATATACTTAAACGATGCTCCGATATTGGTGACAAAGTGATTATGTTCTCTCATAGTTTGATATCATTGGATTTAGTTGAAAGATTTTTGGCAGAGATAAATCGTCAGTGGTCTGTCTATCAGGTAAGATATCTGTTTTATTTTAATTACTTTATGTTTGAAGGGTTTATGTTGTTATGCGACGTCCGTGTAATGTATCTTGGCAGAAAATGCTGTTTTGTCAGTTGATTAATAAACTTTACGTACTGCGCAACACCGGAAGAACTTGGAGGAAAATCGCTCAATATTTCTCGGAAGCTAAAAAATGTATCGTTCGGTTCAGTTATGACCGACTTCGATCAAGAGAGTAGTGTTATTGTTTTCTGTAAAAGTTTTTAAACTCCATTAACTGAAAGTTTCACAAATCCATTGAGTGACTTATTTTCGTTGAGTAACATTAGTCATCCATTCCTAGCCGTGTTAAATCAGCGTTTTACTAAACAAGATACATGGTTCAGTGGCCGAAATATTGTTATATTTTGTATTTATTACATCACCAAGTATCTTTTGTAGTTACGTGTGAGTTCAGTGATCAGTCCTTACTAGTAAACTAGTCTCATCATTTAATTAGATATTTGACCGTTTCACATCTGGTGTATATATTGATTAACTTCAAGGGAATCACGTAACCCACGATAATTGATGGTCTTCCGAATTTGTTGTTACAAGTCAATACAACCAACCTCCTTTTTCTGTTCTGTTACAGTAAGAAATATTTCTAATTTGTGAGACAAAATTTTTTCAAGATATTCACAAGTATATATATATATATATATATATATATATATATGACTGCAAAGTTTTCATCCCTTTTATTGTATTTCACCATAGTTCAATCTCTAGTTAATTAATTAAGTAAAAATTTTTTTAAGGATCAAATGTCAAATGAAAAAGGTGATAAGAATGTAAAGTCTTCACAAAATCCAGAAATTTTAAATCGCCCAGATTTATCAGCATATTTTTCTGATATTGGACATAATACATGGATACGTGGCTTAGACTATGAACGAATGGATGGTAGTATGAATGTAAATATACGAAAAGATTTACAAACACGTTTCAATTCTACTAGTAATACACGTTTACGACTGTTTATCATATCTACTAAAGCTGGTGGATTGGGTATCAATCTAGTCTCTGCAAATCGTCTTATTCTTCTTGATGCATCTTGGAATCCAAGTCATGATATTCAGTCAATATTTAGAAGTTATCGTTTCGGTCAAAGCAAACCTGTTTATATTTATCGTCTTATTGCAAAGGGGACAATGGAAGAAAAAATTTATGATCGACAGGTATACAGTAAAAATTTTTTCATTTTATTTTACTTAATATCTATCATCTAAAATTTAGTTATACTACTACTGATATTGATTAGGAGTTTGACTTTAAGTTTCACAGTTCCACGATAAATCATCCTACTTATCTAGAATTTCAAGTGATAATAGTAAAAAGACATATATCTGGAAAAGAACCAAACGACCTAATGCATCTGATTTTCTTGAATGCTATTACGAGTTCACCTTACTCGGTGAACAGAGCGAAGGTCGAAGATACAGTGACACGATAGGCTATTCTAATCCATTGTCCCAGGCCCCGCTAACTAGATCAAGTCTTGATGAGGCGTGGAGAATGTACTCTATTCACTAAGCACTCAAATCAAGCTTATTTATACAATGGTAGAAGCGCCCTTGGAAGAGCCACAAAATAGCGTACTAAAAAATCCGTCAATCAATGACAGTCAAGGATTTCCGAGTGGGAAATGTAAGCTGTAGGTCAACTAAGCGTCCCTCGGCGTGAAAACATGAAATTCAAATTTTCAGAATAAAATTACAAATTAGGATCTTTTCCAAGTGAGTTCTAGGAATCTAACGTCCTCAACAGCTTGAAAAGATCTGCTTATAACTCATTACTTTGTTTTGCAATTACTGATTTAACCTTTTTACGTTGAAAACATGTGATCAAAGTCATTCAGTTTAAGAAGTTTTTCGTTCCTAATCTTGTCGAGGATTCAGACCAAATAATTGAGTTCATGGGCAAAATTCAAAGTGCCAACATTAATGATAACATGAGTAATGTATTTTAAACACTTCATTTCACGGGGTATAGCTATACAGGAACATAGGATGCACTAATTTACAGCCAGTAGCCATGTTGGTTCAACAATGAAAATCAACAAATTAAAATGAGAACTATAGATACAAAATATAGAAATCATTCCAAATCAACAAATGCTCACTGAATTCATAAAAAATAAAACTAAATGTTATTACAATTGCAATCATAGGTGGATTTAATATCACAGATTTATATCAACACTTAAGGATATCATATAGGATGACAAAGAGTTATATTGTCAAAAGTGCATGGTTATAAAACCAGTTACTGTACTGCAAGTAGTATAATGAAATGTAAAAGAAGGAACTAAATAATAAAGAAATGAAGGTAAAATGAGCAAGTAGATTTGACACTTGCTATTTTAATCTATTTCATATTTTACGTTTTTTATCAATGTACTGATAAAATTTGACGAACTGGAAATCAGCTTACTTGAATCATTTAAATTTCTGTGTGATGGAATTTCCTGAATAACGTTGATATCGACTATGTCGTTAGGACATGACCTCATTCTCATGATAGAAAGCAGTATTTATCTATTCCTGAGATGTAAGTAATACGATTCTTCATATTACTAGGTATAATAAAAAAAGGAAATCTTAAATTCGAAACAAACTTGGTTAATACAATTTAAATGTCTCATCCAGGAGTATATTGACCGGCTTCCGTTAATTCTGTAGAAATGAATATAATACGAATATCGCGAACGAATAAGTTGCAAATGTTGATAATCCATGTAGATATCTGAATTATTTTTCTAGATTGCATTTCCTTATGATCCAGGTAACTTTTGACTCATGTATAGTATTAATATCTTGTACGTGATGAACATAGTTTTAATGCATTTTTAATGTATTGATGTAATATATTCGGATTTATTTCTACTCTTCAGGTAACTAAACAATCTTTATCTCTTCGAGTAATCGATGAACTACAAATTGGTCGACATTTTTCAGATTCTGATTTACAAGAACTATTTACTTTTGAACCAGATATATGGAATCCTAATGGAAATGATAAACGTCCTACACCAATATTACCTAAAGATCGTTTATTAGCTGATATGCTTACAGAATATCCACATTTAATTGTAACTTATCATAATCATGATTCCTTATTAGAGCATAGAGAAGATGAAGGTCTTACAGAATCAGAACGTCAAGAAGCATGGAGAGAGTTTGAAGAAGAGAAACGATTAGGTATATCATTAGCTCAATACCAACGTTTATTGTTACAACAGGAGTGGATAGCTCAACATCAACAACAATTTCAACAACAACAACAGCAACAACAACAACAACAACATCAGTTTCAATTACAACAACGTTTGGTTTTACCGAATTTTGTCAATACCAACTTTCGCTTCTCAATGATTCCATCATTAAATAACGAAGAGACAATTGTTATTAATGATGATAATAATAATAATAATAGTAACATACATCTCTTTCCAACATCGACATTCACTAATAATACAGTGAGCATTTCAAATACTGGCATGAATATCATTGATAATAATAGTAGTAGTATACCTGTCACTAAATCAACAGAAAATACTATAACCAATGTTGGTAGTGTTAGTACTGAGGATATGCAAACTGTTCTACCACAAGCTATTCATAGCGGTGTTAGCAATAATGCTATTGGAAGTTCATTAATCACTACCAATCCGTCTAGATCTCAAGCACGTTATGTGGCATCACCGATTACCAATATGCTAAGTAAGATATTTTTTGTCGTGTCATTTTATACTTCGCTTAATCCCTATTTTGATTATACTGACTTGTAGTAGATTACTTGATTTTTGCGACCCATTTATACACGCAGTGTTAGATATAAGGGGTATGGAAGGCTTTTTTCTCAGGTTTTTCTTATTAATAAATGTTATAAATTTATCTTGTCATTCGTTCATCACTTTTGCTGTAGTTCCTTTCTTGCCTAATTTTTTTACGGCAGGCTATACTACTTACGAATAATAAATAGCTAGAGTTATATATAACGATTTTCAGAGGTTATGCACACAACCCCTTTATCATTCACCAGATTTTTTCCACTCCTTTTTTATGTTACGGCTATTGATACAATCTAGGCTTTCAATCCGAAGTTGACGGGGCTGAGTTCGACCCAGCAGCTGGGTGATATATAACGACTAAAGCTCCACGACCAAACCATCCAGCTCAGAGAACACAATTGCACCAAAATCATCCACCTGAGCTACGAATCTTCACCATCTTATAATCAAGTCCATAATTCACTGTGGGATTACTTCACCTATCTTATGCACTATGTTGAGTGATGATACCTTATTTCACCTAATCAATCATTTTGAATGTTTATACTCTTATTGCAATCTTTTGATCGCTCACTAAAATGTTGATATTTTTTACTTACCCTGTCCATGCTGCTTTGAAACTTCGTTTACCTTCAACTGTTTGCTTTTTTTCAAAAAACCCGGTGGCTAACTTGTTTTCGTCGTTTACTGTTTTGATCACTTAGCATATGTAAACGCTTGCTTTTAGCTTAAATTTTGATGGTATAACTAAAACCTGGACAACTAACGATTTCAGGTTTGATGAATTCTTAGTGTTCATCTGGTTTTCCATAATACTGTCGTAATTTTAAACATATTTCATTTCTTGTAACGTTGAGATGCTTACATGTAACTTGTTAGTTGAACTAGCTCTGTTTTTTTTTTTCAGACTTCAAGTCCGAAAATGTTCACTTGTTTAACTTTTTTATTAGTTTTTATTGTTGTTACATAATAGCCACTAGTTGAAACCTACGTACAGGTCTTCAGAATGACAATTCGCTTACTGAACATATTCATGGTGCTCAGCTGAATAAGTCTCAAAAAAAATTAATGAACTGATTAATTAGGTATACGAATATGTATAAAGGTGTTAAAACGTGTATGTTTACTCAAGTTACTCTACCTAAACAGTATAACTATGAATTACTTGTTAGCAAATAAGTTTATCTATATATCATTTCCGTCAGGAATTGGAAGCAGATATATTATTATTTATTGTTTGAACACATAAATATTGGTAGAAAGGGGCATGGAATACATATAAACTACACAAGTCACTTGATATGTATGTGGGCTGCGATACCGTCAGGATGCTCAGACCGACGCGCGTGGTTTTCTTAGGGGGCCACACCCGGAGCTTTTGATTAAAGGGCCTAGTCCACAAGGCAGTAGACCAACGTGAGGAGATGCAGTTCTATGGTGACCGACTATTGACTCATATGCCATTCGTTCCTTCAGGATACTGGAACCCATATGCATAATTGGTTTGGAATCAGGGTTTTCCAACCCCCCTATGTGGATGCTCCGTACCCACCAACCCGGTTAAAGCACCGACCATTCACTTTTTGTCCTCTCGATTTCGTAAACAACGCCCCCACCCCTGTCAGTGGCTATATACGCGTGGCCATATGAGAGCGAATTCTCCTCACCCTTGGCTGTACTTGGGGATTTGGGGGCAAACATCAAAAGAATAAATAGCGGCTGGAAACAACTGGAAAGAATTGACCAAGACAGAATTTGATGGCGAATCCTGATGGGCGGCCTATACTCCTGTAGGAGGGGTAAAAGGCGTAAGTAAGTAAATACTAAGTGATAAAATTAACGGTTACGGAGTGATCTAAGATTTGTCACTTCACACTCACCATATGTCATTCAGGAACAAGGTTGCTAGTGAAACAATAAAACTTTTTAATACTGTTTGAGTATAACGATTAATGTTGTCATGCACTTAAACTACTTATGATGAAATAGGAAGTGATTTTATTTTCTACTCGTCATACATTTGACTTTGATAAATTACCTCTCTATTTTTTTCAACGTCCCTGTATCATAGGCTTTAGGGTACCTCATTCTATTAGGAAATATAATTCTAGTATCAAATTTCATACCTATGAATAGTGAAGGCACCTATGTGTTTAATTCACAATCATATCAGCATTGATACTTGTAAAGTTCATTAGCAATGTTCCATCTTGGATATTACTATTATTGTTAATTTTCAGTTGCATGTTCTTTTTATCGGATCACAAATATTGTTTTTCATAAATAATATATTTATGTCTGGTATATATTTACATTTTTTTAAAGGTAATCCTTATGGTGCAATGTATTCAGAAGTTCGTCGTCATGTTATGCTTAAAGATCCTAGTTTAGCTTCAAATCCTGAAAAATTAGATAAAATTACAATGAATCGTTTATTAAATGCTTTAGCTACTCCAGTTTTAGTCAGTTCGAATGATGCACGCAATCAAAATACCACTTTCCCATTACGTAATAAAACATCACAAGCTTATCCTCAGTCGAAAAATTAACATCTCATTATGATCTTTTTATACCGTCAGTTGCTTATTTAAATCTAAACAAGACATACTATACTTCATTCATCGGTGCTTTTTTATATTACTCTTCGATTTTCTTTTTTTGTACCGATGTAATCTATTTGTCGAAATCAGTTTTTTATTGATTCGTTTGTTCTCCTTCCTCTATGGTCTCTCTGCCTTCTTTCCCTGCTTATCCCTCATGTTTCGTTAGTCTCTTGTTTTTTTTTATTGAAAGCATTAATTTTCTCTGAATTATTGCATTTAATATTGAAAAAAAAACGAAGCAGAAATAAATTAAATCAATAAACAAACAAAATTTTGAAAGAAAAAAGAACTAAGAGCAACTTATTAGAAAAACTTATTTTTCTCCATCCATCCATTACAGTGAATATAATATAACTATGTATTTATTTGTTATTACTATGGTTATTCTTATTATTACTACTGAAATTACATATGATATAATCATTATATTATAATGTACAGTGTTGTTATTTGAGAAATAAAAATGATTGTCAATAAACCTACTCATTACCATATAACTAGTATGGTAACTTTTATACACCAATTTTTTTTCTGTATTTAATCATTGTTGTCTCTATGTGTATAATATTGTTATACAATTAGATTCATGATATTTAAGACCGGTCATTACCCTTCGGTTTATTTGCCAAAACTATTCTAAACGTTTCACATTACTATATGCATATACTTGTCTGGTTTATTCTTTAAAAAGTTTTTATATTCTTTCTTTGTTGTTGAGAAAAGTATCTGTTTAAGAAATTTTTTCATATTTCAGTGTATTCTTCACATCATATTATTTTGTTTGTTGTTGTGTTCAACTATTAATTTGTTAATGATTACAACAAAGTCATAATTTAATGGAAAACATGTAATTTTTAATCATTTAGTATTTTGTGTGAATAAAGATCCGTAAAATGGCAGATGTGTTGTTACATATGATTATATCATGTTTTTGATATTCAATAAGACTAATTGTATTATAATAGATGGAGATGTTACATTATTTAATCTCGCTTGTTTTTAATTATTATTTCATATTGTAAATTGTTTTAAAAAAAGAGTGAAACTCAATCTGCTTTGTTTTCCATAATAGTAGTCAAAGTAGAAATGAATATTTTCATTTAGGTGTTACATGACTACTGACAAAAAATTGTTGAGATAATTCACTAGTATTGAAGTTTGTACTACTTTGCATTATCGTTATGCTTTTGGGCTGGAGTTATCGGCGATGTTTTCTATGTTCGTTAAATGTGTTTTTTCTTTTAACAATTTCAGTTATTTTCTTTTATACTTAATAGATAAACAGTGGATATAAGTGTAATTTTCATTGGAAATTCTCTTTTGAGATCTACTGTTTGCTATATTTGTGTTTTCTATTGAACTGTGCCAAACTGGACATATTCATAGCAGACAGTTGCGAATAATTTCAGCAGCTTGAAATGAAATCATTAATAGAAATATACTTTAACGTGAAGCACTCAATGAATAAATAAACTCAGGAACGACAGTAAACATTCACAACGGTGTGGATAACCTCAGCCATATTGTTTGCTAACATTAAAAGAAGCCTAGTTTATCATTGCCAAGACCAGTGATATTCATCATTGTATGTGAATGGCAAAACACTCCCATACCCCTAATTATCCATGTTACTGTAGAAGATACTGATAAGATTTGTTTGACTTGTTGAATGTCCTCAAAATTTCGAATCGATTTCCTTTACGCAAATGATCATTAACAGATAATACAGCGAAGTGTACTCACGATATACTTGTGCTTCTACGTGTCTACATATCTTGAAGTAGAAATTTATACTTGTCTGTTTATAACTAAGTGTCGTGACGGGCAGGATCCTTAATCGGATGCTGATACACTGTGTGTAACGTGCTAACCCCCTAACTGACTACTTGAGCGAGAACACAAGAGTGGACGAGTAAGTGTATTGGGTTACCGAGTAACATGCAAAAATACTCATTTAAATTTATACCACTCTAATCTTTAGGAAATTGATCCATTTCTTAGCCAGTGAAATGCACTTCTGATTGCGGTCTATTGACCTCATTAAGCTACTTCTGATTTGCTTTCCATATAACTAAGACATCTCTTTACTTTGATATATGTATATAAATCTTGTGTGACAAGCTATAGGATTTCTGTATATTGTTTAGTTTAATGATTGATTTGGAATACTATAAGTTATTTTAATCACACCAAATCTCATATTTCGGATTTTCGAATTTCATAATCGTAAGTATGACAATATGAATTTGTTTTAAATGTGAAATCTTTTCACGAAACGGAAAATATGGTTATTTGTTTCAGCTTATTTTTAACATAACCGAAACGCATCAACTTAAGATGAGAAATCGTAGGTGTAGTTAACACATGCTGCAGGCTAATATGTGATGATTAAATTCTATACCTGTCGTCTGATGAAATATACTATGGATACAGTCTGTTGAAACAAATAGATTACCTCTGCTACATATCAAAGCCATCTTGCCAACAAAAGGAAGATTTTGTTCATAAATAAACATTCACTACCAATATACGGTAGCGTATCGCAAATAATGGAATACAAATCCGACATTAACTCAAAGAATTATACGTACCTAGTTTTGGCTAAAAATATTACGATAAAATTTTTACCATTCCTGATTGCGGCTCCCAGTAAAGAGGGTAATTGTGGTTCTTAAAGGTTTTGTTTGTTTAAATATAGTGAAAATTCCTATTTTGACATTGGTAAATAAAGAAGGAGCGAATCTTGCGAATTGAAAAGAAATTTCTTAAGTGCGGATTGCATAGCTTGAGCATTCTCGCACAGTAAGACAATATCATCTGCACACTCAAGGTCGAGAAGTCTTTCTCCAGGCAACAGATCCACACCACCATTACTTACATTCGCCAGAGCTGTTTCCAGAATGTCATCGATGACAAAGTTGAAGAGGAATGGTGAGATTGGGCAACCCTGCCTAACTCCACTGCTCGAACGGAATAATGGAGAGAGGTGGTTGTATGCCCTCACTCTGCCTGAAGTGTTTCTGTATAGGGCTTTTAGGATGTTAATAAACTTCTCAGGCACACCCTTCTTCAATAGACAACCCCAGAGAACAGTTCTGTCCAACGAATCGAAGGCAGCCCTGATATCAAGAAACACTACGATTGTTGGCCTTTGATAAGTATGGCGGTGTTCTAAGATTTGGCGGAGGGTGAATATATGATCAATACATCCTCGACGAAAATGAAACCCAGCCTGCTCCTCGCGAGTCAATCTTTCTCGGGTTTTGAATAATCTATGAAGAATGATGTAACCCAATCGTTCGGACGCGATCGGAAGTAGTCTTGTCCCCCGATAATTCTTGCTTAGGTGATGTGAACCCCTTTTAAAGGTAGGGACACTTACCGAGTCATTCCATGATGTTTGAGCACCCTCTGATTGCCAGGTCTTTGTAAACAACTCAGTCAGTTTCTTAACCAGGAAGTCAGCACCATCTTTAAAAAGAGCCGGAGGTAAGTCATCTGGGCTTGGTGGCTCGAAACTCGTCAAGAGTTGGAGTTCGTTGCGGTGGATCAGTCTCCACAGACCATGGAGGGCAGGACAGTCTGATTGATGCAGCCGGGGCAGCAGACCAGTTGAACTTCCCCTCTAATAACTCTGCCCATTGTCCAGGACGTCGATAAATGTTAGTGATTGGCATACTGCCGTCTTCTTGCTGCCAGTAACCCTGATGATTTGAAAGAGCTTCTGGTAGTTACCAGATAAAGCTGCAGTTTCCAGCTAATTGGCACTCTCCTTATGCAAGCTTCGCACGAGTTCATTACGTAATAGTCGACGTTTATGGTCAAACTCGAGATCATCCGGAGTAGACCAACGTGTTTCAATGGGGTGTAAGCAGCCTAAGGAAACCCAGTGCTTATAAGCGGGACGTTTCGCGAAGCCGCAACCGACTTTATTCGGAATTTTCATCGAGATGCAGAGAGAACGTCAGGTGATAACTGTGTCGGTAGTTAGTGCTAGACAGAAACAATTTGTAGTCTGCGCACAGTTAAAAAGAGACGATCACCATTATTCGACCTTTGACAAACAAGTCCCCATCGGCTACCCGAACAGTTCTCTTCCGTGCCTAGACACACAACCTGAGCACTCAGGTCTCCGGCTAGGGATTTCTTTAGAAAAACACAACTCGTGGTAAAACTGATTTTTGATCACATCTGGACTGCAATCTGTCAAAGTGTAGGCGCAGCTGACGAAAAGATATCGTTTATCACAGTAATTTCTTCATACTTTGATGGAACTTTCTAGTCTAACATCACACAACCGACTGTTGATGGGGATCCAATAGGTCAATGCTGCCTCGGCTCTAGGGCTTAGTGTAGCACCGATGCCGGCGAAATCAGACGATGACGCATGATCTCCGGATAAACACACGTGAATATTGAAGTAAGAGAAATTTTTACAGTAGTAGTTATCATTGATATGTGCAAGGTTTGTGATACTGCTCGGGTGTCCTAATCGAAGGTGGAGCACACTCGGAGCCTCTGATCCGAAGGTCTAATCAACAAGGCAGTGGTGCAACGTGAGAATTAGTCTCATATTAGCTCGTGACTGACAATTGATTCATATGCCATTCATTCCTTCAGGATACTGGAGCCCATGTACAGGGTTTTCCAACTCCTATGTGGAAGCTACGTACCCACTAACCCGGTTAAAGCGCCGAACATTCTCTTTTCGTGTATCTGAAATACATGATTCGTATCGCAGAGGCTGAGATTGGTGTTCTGGACTTAAGAGGCAGGGATAGATGGGAAGTAGGACCGATAATGACTCTAGACCGCTCGTATGGGTTTACGTGTCATTGGTCCGGTCGATAAATCACTGTAGTTTAATTGGCGGTATCATTACGTTATACACTGATAGGGGCAAAAACCCACAAGTTATAACAAATATAATAAGCGAATAACCACCGAATAGTGTTTTTTATTTAAATATCATGGATTGCATAAAAAAACAATATTTTTACAATGAGAGAGTGCTCAAGAGGGAACATAACAACGGTTTCTTGATTATCACATTCATGTATGATATGATCACTGAAATATATGGGTAGACAAATATAGAGGAAAAAACGTGTCAAAAAAACCTGAACTACATGAACAACATCAAAAGTTACGATTAATCAATGGTCCCAACACGAAAGACAATCGAAAATAAAACGTGTCTATATATTTAACTACTGAAATCAAATTTCAGTAATCCCAAAATAATAAAAACAATGTGAAAAGAAAACGCTTGATATGTATCGGTAGATTAGTTCTCTTTTAATGATTTAAAAGTAACGTTGTTGAAACTCATGATGCCACTGATTGAAGTCAATGTAGAACACAATCAGACAACCAGATTTCAGACCAGCGAAAATAAATCTACAAGACACGAAAAAATTACATATGTACTGATAATCTGTATGAATGTGTTGTCAATGAAAAGTTTAATTCGAATAAAATAATAGGATAACTACTGAAATTGAAATTCAGTAATCCTTAGAAGTTTGAATATTATAGCACATAGAATTTTAAAGTTATAATACGTTAAATTGCTCGTTTTCATAGTAAAATTTACTGCTTACTTATCGTTTAATTTAATTAATTAATAATAGTAGTGGATTTGTTCAACATTGTATGCTGAGTACACTATGGAGTTGTCAAGAAAAAGTGTAGCAGTATTAGTAGTGATCGTCTATGTTTATCTGATGAACCGTTTATGAATTAATCATATTATCATTATTATTTTCACAAGCTCAATTTTATATTGAATTTAATATTTATTACCAAACTGGAAATACTGAAAGAATGAATAGGTTATTTATGAGAAGTTAAATATCATGGAGTGATTACAATTAGAGGTTGACTTCGGATCCATAGAAAAAATTTCACCGGAGAGAAAAAATATTGAGCCGTATGTTTATATAGTCGGTATCTATTAGAACAGAACGATCTCTAAAGATTTGCGTTGTTAAGAGTAATTGTATTTTATCGTTAAAAATGAATTAACAGGAAACAAATAGACGGAATAATAATAAGAATTTAACCACTTCGATGAATTCTGAAAACTTGTTTTCTTAACTCGCATTCCAAGAAATTCAAACATATCATTGAAGCTATGCATATAACTCAGTTTGAACTAACAATTTATGACTACATAAATTTTCATTGGATTTTGATTTCGATTACTTTATTCCTATCAGAATGGGGGGTTTGTGGAGATTGTAGTAATTTAATAATTGAATTCATGACTCGATTAAAGCTAGACCACCATGCAAAACCTGGAAGCACCACTCAGTGATCAGTCAATTGTGATTACATTTCAGTCCTACAGGAAGTTGGTCGCGGCCCGGATATCTCAGTGGTAACGTCTCTGACTGGAGTTGAGTGACACGGCATCGAATCCGTCAGGGGGTACCAGTTCCTTCAAGACTACAGGTACACCTTGCTGACGAGTGCCAAATAGCACGAAACCCGGGTCCAGGGTTTCCTGTCGACTACCTACAACCACCATCTGATGATGTTCATGTCTAACTTCAACCAACCCACGATGATGCGCACCACTGAGGAGTCCCATACAAAGACGAAACGTTCGTAAACTACTTCCAGGTTTTCCATGGTTATCTAGCTTTAATCGATCCATGAATTCAACCATTTAATTATTATATTCCTGTTTTAAATAACGTGTTGTGTAAAAGTAGGCTGTGGTACAACATACGTATAATCAAATCATTTTACTTGGTGCAGATTTTTAATGTCATTGATTTTTAATATTGCTTATTGA